CCACACAAAAAAGCGCTGTCCAGGCTCAATCCGGCTTAGCTTATGAGCTTTGACGAGATCAGGCGCATTCCCCAACGATTTGGTCAAGGAGCAGTGTTCGGTCATGCAGCATATCTCGTGGAAGCTACGTGGGATTGAGACCGGTTAGTTTTTGGATGGGTGGCCACTGGGGGCTTGCCACTGGCGAGAAGATGGCAGTGTTGAATGTGGTCAACTAATATGTGCGGTGGGTTTTTTTCTCTCCAGGTTCTCTGCTAGGAAGTCATACGTTCATGAATGGAATTAGCACCAAACATGTCAGTTGCAGGATTTTCCAGAGAAACGTGTACTGAGACTTAGTGAGGCTTTCCTGGGTATATAATTTACATTTTTAACGCATTTATATTGCTACAATTGGAGAGAAAAAAAATCTACATTTTTTGGTCTTTGTTTTGAAAATATAAAAAGCTGTTCCAATCGTCAAGTAAGTCGACGGGAATGATGTTATTCATCTTCATACGCTGTGGGTAACACTGGTATTCGTGGGCAGGCAGTGTGATGTGGCACTAAGAGGCATGTGGTTCGTGTTATTGACGCTGAGCCAATAGCTTGCGATAAGCTGAAGGGGCCTTTTCACATGCCCCCAAAATTGGTGGCGCACTCAGAGACCAACACCCGGAACACGCTTTGGTCTGCAGGCAGGCTACGTTACAAATTACCCACTCGTAAAAAAAAACTCTGAAAACGTCTATGGATTCTGAATCAGTATGACAAGCGCAGTTATAGTGATTAGGAAATGCAATCATTGCATTATGATGGTACTAATTAGTAATTAGCCCAACAGATTATGTATTTTAAAATCACATCAATGGGAATTAATTAACAAACCAGGATAACTTCAACGTGTGTCGTAGAATGAAAACGTAGATTAAGTACAAAATTGGAAACAATACATTTGTAGATTATAAAAAAAATCATATTAAAAAAGTACAAAAATACATATAATTCCCCTGCGTAATGAACACAACACAATTTGGATTTAAAAGCATCTGAAGCGCATCTCCAGATGGTCTACACTCGGAGTAAACACATGCTCACCCCCAGAGTCCAAACGAGAGGGGCAATGTAAGTTTTGTGTTTCTATTTTGGCAGGGAAGGAGGTTGAGTGCTACGAGTCAGAAAGGGACTTGAGACCCATGAAGACAATTCATAAGGGAAGACGGTCATTTGCAGTCGTGTATACAAAGGCAGCATGAGAAAATGACAGTGCCTACAGACATTATATATACAAGTCACACACACCCAAAAAAATATGTTACTTTACAAACTCGCATTTAATGAATTCGGTAACGGATCACCCTGCATGAGTAATACCCTTGGGCCAACATTCACATTTGTGAGTGGTCACGCTCGGAGGATGAACACTCCACTTGGGTGGGGGAAGGTTGTTGCGTTGAAGCTCCGAGTCTGGCTGCCCCTGGACTCTGTTCCACATTTTCCACCGGGACATCACAAGCTGCGCCAACACCGGGCCCCATACAGCGTGGGGTGGATTTCCACCGGATATTTGCCGAGCTGAGCCAGAACCAAACCCGTAAACTCCGGCCTCACAATGTGTGTATGTTGAACGTTTTTCGCACCGTACGTAGCCAACCGTGCTAACGAGACACTTTAAACTGGCTCGGGAGCAAGCAGGGCCAGGTGCAGGGATAATAATCATCATCCACATTTGTTTGTTTGGATTAAGCCCAGAGGGGCCGCACTCCTGTTTACAATCCACAAGTCGTAGCGAGCAATATGCAATGATTGAAAACGTGCCTCTTTGTCCATGTGCGTACGTTGCTTTTCACAGAGTCAGTTTATTTTTCGAAAGAACTCCAACCGTGGTTCCGCTGAACTCTTTATTTCATAATTGTAATGCTCGTCCGCCTTTCAAAAAATAAATTTGGCACGTAGACTTTTTTTTTATGCAGCCATGGTGAAATGCTCGGCACATTAAACTTTCAATTCAGCCGTCACCGGTTCAATCTCCTGGCACGCCAGCTGGAGCAATGGCCAAGTTTATTCAAATCGCCCCACGTTTGTCCACTCAACGGGATAAATGGTCGATCGACAGGTTGCGTGTGGTGGGGTAAAGTCTGGGCACATCCACATATTCAAATGATGTCTGCTCATTGTGGAAAAGTAAGCCAAAATTCTATTTCACTATTTTAATTAACTTTTTTTTTACCAGGTAAGGCCCACTGAGCTATGTAGCTCTTTTTCAGAAGCGACCTGGCCACAAATGGTAGCTCAACGAAGTGGCTTATCGTGTGGAAATTTATAGCAGCCAAATACTCTGAACGCGTGTTGATACTTAATGTGGAGTGGAAATCCGGGGGACCCGGGGAAAAGTCCACGCGACCACGGGGAGAGAGGCATGCAAATTCCAAATATCCAATAGGCGTCAGGGTCGGGATCGAACCCACGACCTCGTGCATACCAATCAAGGTAGTTAACATCTCGCAACTGCGGCGCCCCCAATTGCAAGCAATTGCAGGGGCTGCCCCTACACATTATTTCGGGGCTCTGCAGAGCTCCGTGGAGTCGAGGCTTTTCCACAGACATACAAACAAAGACGCGGTATTTAACCTGAAGAGCTATGAAGTAATATTTCACAGATGATGAATTTGCAGAGAAGGTTACGTAGGTAGGTAGATCAATTAAACAACCGAATGTGAAGTAAAATAAAACGAATGTGAACTCGAACCCGAAGAAAAGATAATTTTATGGAAAACAGATAACAGTTGTTGTTAAAACAAGTTTATACAATGAGTGGATGAATCGCAGATGTAATGTCACAGTTGTCAAAAGACATTTGCAAGTAACGGTGGCACGTGCGGCTGCGGTTGATATCGAGCGAGGTGTTTTGAGAAGCACTTCACCATGAAGGAGAGAGGAGGACACAAGGGGACTTTACAATGTCGATGCCGCAGCGGCGAAAGCATCGGTACCAAGTCCAATTCTTGCTCGACATTTGAAGTTCTAATTCAATTCCTTGTGGTGTTAAACTGCTGGCTATTTGCATGGGGATTTCTGCCATTAAGAATGTTATTGTCTGTATGTATGTATACAGAACTTCTTTCGCAGCGTACGTAGCCAACTGGGCTAATCGAAGTTGCGGGGGAAGGACAGAAAACTAAACACAAAAAACTGTTCGAAAGAAATGAGTTTTAATTTAGATGATTTGAAAGTGCATAGCTCCAGTGGCTTCCCAATATCGGAAGGAAGAACGTTCCAGACGGCCAGGAGAAGCGCATCTGATGCAGTCGGCCGTCTTAGTTCGATGGCGAGCCAAAAGCCGCTGTCAGGATGATGCTCCTTGCAGTGAGCAATCAATTGCAGGGGCTGCCCCTTTAGCTTTACTTTACATACTCCTGTTGCGTTTTCCAGTTTCGTCACTCCAACAATTATTTTCCCTTGCTCAGCGAACCCGTCGCACTTGACCTTTGCTTTAACACGGCATCCTTATTCCAGTGTTTCATCACTTTGCCTGCTTCAGTTGACTGGATCAAGGCAATCTCTGTCAGCTACAGCAGGTAACTGTCAGACAAAGCAGCCATTTATTTTAAGTGCTCACACGCTAAGCCGCGGGTTGCACAGAGCGCTGCGTCTCACACATAAGCTACGGGCGGCGATTTTGAACCGCAGCTTAGGATCACAAAGTGCGAGTGTATGAAAGCGGACCGTTTGCCAATGGCCGTGCATTCAAGTAAAATCACACATTTGTCATTTTTGACTTGGCTGGAATAGGATATGTATCAACCACACCCCATTCCACAGTTACCCCCATCAGAATACCAGCTTTGTTCATCAAAGAGGGTTTTTTAGAACAATCGTGTAGACAGTTACACGCCCTAGCCAATGCTGGGTTACATATCCTGCCTGTAAAGGGTGCGAAAAAAAACCAGAACTACAAAAATACAAATTCAAAGACCTACTCGATTATTTTACCGCTGTTCAATGCGACTGTGAACCTAGCCACCTGAATTCGATTTCCAACTTCGTCTTGCATCAGTGACAAGTGATATCTGAATTGGTCGGAGGCCTGCTCCCCTCCCACTCATCTCCACGAGCCTGTGTGGTGAAGTAGAGAAAAACAACTCCCGTGGCTTACACAACACGGGGACGGAAACCTTCATCCACAAGTAGACTGACAACGTGCTGCAACATTTAATTCAATAATAATCGCAAGCCACTTCTTTTGGCATTACCGTTTCGTTCTGTGCTTTATTTTACGGAGAGATGTTGTGCATTACGGCGCAGCTGCTGCAGATTGACCCTCTGATTTCTGAACAACATTATTTTCCTAGGGCAGGACACGTTTGCTATTTTACGACGACTGCTTGATCGTTTTGTTCCGTGGTCAGTGGTGCTCCCATCCTGCCGGGCGTTGCTTCACCGTGAACGCCACTCATATTGTTTCACAACTACAGTTGAGCAGTTTTTTTTATTATCGCCACAAATGACGACGATAATTTTGAGCCCCTTTGTCAAACAACCCCTGGGCAAAGGCCCCCCCTCCCCTCATGCCGTGTCGGTCATGGTGATGTGTTTAACCATACTTCACCACGATGCTCGGTGTGGTTTTGCGAAATGGAGGGGGGGGGGTGAGGGTCCAGAACCGGTTTAGATATCAATAGATGATATCCGTGGCCAAAGATCGAACACCGTCATGATTCTTGTACCGTAATGATGACAAAACTCGACGGCATTCAATCTGACCTGGACACATATGAGTTGCGAGAAAAACTACACAATGACAGTAACGAGGCTTCAGATCATATTTTTTGTTGAATAATCAATACCACCCCAAATATTAGCAGTGAGGTAACGACTTACATTTTAAAAAAATGCCATTCCCACGAATTGCCTTGGCAGTGGTCCAAACATTACAAAAAAAAGTGGGCGGCAAAGAAAGGGAGGGATGTAGGGAGGTCTTTAGTGACTTCAGCCCTTTATTTCCCGCAGCTGTTGACTGCTAATCGCAATGTAAACACGAGCCCTTATCTGGCGGGTGGCCATTGCTAAGCAGCTTGATATAAGGCCCTTTGCTGCGACTCGGACACTTTCTACGAGGAGCAAATCCCCCGGTCTTCCCTCAGAACTCGTCCGAATGGAGTGCAAGTGGAGCGGTGGTTTTGCGGCTTTTCTGGTGTTGTGCTTAGCCCACAATGCCTCATCGTCCGCCATAGACCGACTACTCACTCACAGCCGGATCCGTGCCATAAAGGAAGGGTAAGGTGTACAACTTTCACCAAATTTGATTATTTCGCGAGAAATGTTGTTTCGTGATTTCTGAGTGAAAACATTGTTTTAATATCGAAACTTTTTTTATGAAATGAGATCATGTTGCATTGTGTACACTTGTTGAATAATCACTGCAAGGCTTTTCGCTGATACTTATGAGGACGTTAGTAATGGGCTTTTAAATTCATGCAACTTGTCAAAGTTTATTTCAAACTTCTGCCAATTAATATAAGAAACTGCAATGTACGTAATGAGCCCGGTTGATTGCACAGACATATCTAAAATAGAATGCATTCAATTTACAGGGCGGTGCATGTATAGATACTTATATTTCATGACCCTATTACAATCTCAGAAATATTGGGAAAGCGATGGCTATATTGATACACGCTATTTTGTGACAATGTTAAAATATTTAAGAGGTGCTTTGAGAGAGGTTTGAGTAAAAAAATGAAAATTAAATCTCCGTAAATAAATTTTTCCAAAATATTTTAGTGGGTCACCTATACACATTGATCACCATTTGTATCGCAAAAATATATATATTTGCTAAGTGGTTGTGCATGAACTCACATGAAATGTAAACGTTCATTTCTGGTTTTGCCGTGTGTGCGCGTACATTACGCAGACCCAACATGTGCGCTGTGCAGCAAATCGAGAACGGCAAGAAGTATTTCTCGTCTTGCCAACTGTGGTACAGAAAGAAGATTTGCAATCGCCCAGCGTAAGAACCTGAAACTGCCCGCTCACACCGCATCCATCCGTTCTGCGAGGCCCTTCATTGCTGCCGTCCGCGGGCAATTTGTGACATTAACTTCAGTGGCAACGGATAAAGTTACATGTTTAAAGTAAAATGTTTTTTGCATGTCACTTCAGTTGCATTGATTTTACAAACTGTGTGCGTCATCTCACCGCGCTTTGCTTCCTAATGCCATTGCCCATGTATTGTGTTAATTGTGAACGCCGTTTAATCGTGTACTTAATGAGAGCTTTGAAGATCGCATTGATGTCAAGGACGGATGTGATAAAGGCTTACGTGAATGCGAAAAAAAGGCAAGGCGCGTATCTCGAAGGATTTTAGCAACAACAACAACAAAATGAGGAATTATACATTGATTGCTCAATTACAGTTAAGATAGGCAATGAGCAAGGGACAAGGGGGGTAAATATGCCGAGTGTGCGTTTCCATTCCCCGCAATGTTTAGACACAGTCAGGGAAACGCCACAGGAATGCATTTACCATTGATGAAAGAAACAACACCTTTGTGTAGAATTCTTGCGAGCTCATTGAGCCTATAGACTCAACTCTGAATGGAGGCGCTTGAGGTGGGAAATATTTGGCTTGTCGCTAAAACAAGCTTCCAGAAGACATAAAACTAATTCACGATTTTCACTGGCTTATTATTTTGTGAGCGCACTTTTTTGTGAAGGTGAAGTTGAAACAATATGATATAATCGGAGGGTCAAATTACGTTTTTTTAATGTAAATTTTGCCGTGAGCCAAAGCAATCGATCAGTGGGTATTTCGTGGCCGGGCAAAATGTGGGGTACTTCACACCTGTTACAAGACGTGTAGCCAGCATGGAAAAGTAGGCCAAATACCCTTTAGAGGGGATCGCTATAACTTCCTCTGGAGCAGGCTCCTTCTGCCAGCAGGGTGCGTGAGCAAGCTATTGCAGGGCTGCATCTTTATCTTCACCTTTTACTGTTAATTATTAAGCACATGCTTTGACTATTTATGAACATTAAAAAATGCATGTAACTACATCTGTGTGTAAAAAAAAATCCCAATGTCCCGTAGATGAATTGTAAACGTATTAATTCTAGATTTGAAGCTTTCGTGACTGCAAGGATTCATATTCTTAGTTCTTTCGGTAAAGTCACGTAGGTAAAAAATGAAATTAAAATTAATAAAAATAAAATAAAAATCTCCCCTCAACTTGTATTTAAGGGCTTACATCTTGAATTCCTGCCTCACTTTATACAGCAAATCTGGCTGTGACGGTCCCACCTGATGACGGAGACTTGTGTTGCCTCCGAAACGTCGTGATTTTTATTTTATTTAATTAATTTTAATTTCATTTTTTTACCTACGTGACTTTACCGAAAGAACTAAGAATATGAATTGTAAACGATAAAAAAAAATTGTGATAGAAAAAAAATATAAACACATTTGAGCATTGTCCCTACATCAGACTTTGGGTCACAATGGCAGCCGCTCCTTAGAGCGGTTAGCTTGGAATGTGGGGGACTCAAATATAGGGGCGCTCCATTCATGGAACACGCAACCTCTTACGGGACGTGTAATCTTCTTTAGCTCTCGCACAATAACGACCCGATAGCGATGGGGGGGAAAAACCCATGCAGAGGAGTACAGTTACATGCACTTTTTTTTTCTTTCTATCTTTCCCCTCTTAATTCGCCACTAGAGTCCAGTTTTCCTTACCTTGCTTAAAATCAACTGCTACACAAACATTTGCAAGACCTGCCCTGCTGTGTTTATTATGTTTGGAACTGGTCTTGGGAACATTTTATTTTATCTGATTGCTCTGTGAAAATCCACCAAACCTCACCCAGTATGACCTGGACACATGGGATTTTTTTCCCTGAAACTTGATCATTTAAAAAATCCCCGTGGCCGAATGTGTAAGCCAACGAGTAAGATCAGAAGGCATGACCACGATTGTCACGAATACTTAAGGGCTATGAAGTCTCAATTCATGTAGACGTTTACAATGGTTCGTGGCACAATAGATGTTTTTTTTGGTCTAATTCACAGCACAGGATTAATGTCAACATAAAATCATGGTAGACAATTCCAGGGATGGAGGGGCAATTGCTAGCAAGAGAACACCGCATGTTGACAAACCCACACTAACATGTTGGCAGTAAAACAAATGTGTCGGTGTCGAAAATTGGCGTGAAGTCGACATATGGTTGAAAAGTACAAAAACGTGAATATTCTAAAAATCTTTCAATGTTTATGCAGACATTCCTCATTATATGGAGGCATTCTGAAATACGTCATGAAGTTTACCTAACTATGCTGATGCTGCTGTGGTGTAATGGTTAGCACACCGGATAGCACAGCAAGTTGAGGTATGTGAATAAAAGCTTCAAAACGCATTAGATGTCTCCAGGATGAATACATATTCTGACCAAGATTCTATTTAAAATAATGGGTCAAGTCTCTTAAATCTCCACGACTCTGTCCACCCAGAAATGTGAATGGATGCATCACAATCGACTGTCAGCTGGCATCTGGTGGGAAAAAGTGTGGATTACTCTCTCGTCTTTTGAGACATCTGGTCAACGTGGAAGAGTAGGTCAACATGCCCTCAAAGAGGGCCCTCTAGAGCTCCCAATAGTGGTGGCATTTTTGCAGTAGCATGAGCAAGTATTTGCAGAGCCGCGCCTTTACCGTGTCGCCTCATGATGCTGCAGTCTGTCACCAGTGAATCGTTTGGAAGCATAAGTTGACTCTGAATTCGCATATTTTTCATTAATTTGTAAACCTTCTTTTCGTTGTTCTCCCCGTGGTCGCGTGGATTTTCTCCGGGTCCTCCGGTTTTTCCGTACACATTTAGAAACGTGCATTTAGAGTATTTGGCTGCTATAAAATTTCACGCGATAAGCCACTTTGTTGAGCTATCATTTGTGGCCAGGTCGCTTCTGAAAAAGAGCTACATAGTTCAGTGGGCCTTACCTGTCAAAATAAAACAGTTACAAAGTTGTTTTTTATTCACATATATCTTTCATGTGGTTTGCACCTGTGCATATCTTTTTTTTTTGCAGGACTGTCTCGTACGAATGCTGTCCTGGTTACGTATCTTTGTCCGGACAAACAGGCTGCCCAGCAAGTAAGTAGGGGTCACTCCGTTCTCACTTCTCATACCGTGGAAATTGTCACCTGCCACTGGAATCTAATATTTTCACCACCGTCTTTGGGCCACGGAATGGAGATATGCACCAGGCCACGGTCATTTGAGCAGTGCAAGATTGACTTTGAGTACGTCAAACCGAATAATAGCGATTAAAGATTATAATATACGGAGCTTTGTCAATCCACCGCTGGATGAAAACCACCCCACATCTTGTTGGTCGTGGGGGTTGTTTGACCATACTTCAGCATGCAAGTCAGCACGGATTGGTGCAAGGGAGATCCAGAATCGGTTCATATATTATTCACCACTGATATTAGCCGTGGTCGGAAATCAAACCGGTGTCTCCACGGGTAAATATTACAGTGGAACAACCAGTGAGCCACCAACGTAACTGTCTGGGCGTCATTTATTTCTCTCTCCATCCCCATTGCAGTTGTCCCACTGAACAGCATTTACAAGACAGTCGACGGCCTCGGGATCAAGGTCACCAAAGCGCGGGTGGACAAGGCAGACCTGGGAAGCGACCTGGATGGGCCCGGCGCTTACACCTTCTTTCTGCCCACCAATGAGGCGTGGGAGAGAATCCCCGCAGTGCGTACGACCCACCGCACCGTTCACGATCGCAGCGACTCACGGCCACAGCTCGCATGTCCGATTATTTAAGTAATCCACCACTCGACCGGTTGATCAGGCCTACGACTCGACCGACTAAACAGACAACACGGAAATACAGTGATCCCTCGTTTATCGCGGTTAATGGGGACCGGAACCCCTCGCGATAGGTGAAAATCCGCGAAGTAGGATTGGCCCCCTAGGTATTTCCGTATATGTGTGTGTGGGTACCAGAATGTTTAAAATGTGTATATTTATACTTTATATATATATTTTACTTAAATCAATTTAATTATAAAACCTTAATATTATACATTCACTCTCTCTCTCTCTCTTTCTCTCTCTCATACGATACGTATTATGGTGTTCTACACTCACCAATGACAGTAGAATCTTGAGACTTGACTCCAGTAATGACGACGACGACGATGACAATGACGATGACAATGACGACGATGACAGACCTGTGCAGTTCGATGAATGTGATGATGAATGATGATGATGATGGTGTTACTGCACAGGTATAATGAGACCTTTAAATCAGTTCGAAAAATCCGCGATGCACTGAGGCCGCGAAACTTGAACCGCGAAGTGGCGAGGGATTACTGTAGTTGGGAGGGGGGGGGAAGTTCCCGTGTGCGACGCTGGACTCGATGTGATATGTAGGGGCTTGTTGGCTTCATTGGAGGCGTCATTTGCATCACGCTGAGCGAAGTTCTTAGGGGGTTTCCCACTTTCTGGAGGCGGGATACGGGGCCGGCCACCAGTTTTATAGAGGCCCGGAGTAATCGACTGCAAAAAAGCTCCGATTATTTTTTGTTTTATTTAAGTATGTATTTCTATTTAAAGCTTTCATCACTACAGGGATTCATCTTCTTGGTCAATCTTCTTGGTTCTTTCGGTAAAGTCACGTAGAAGGGAAATAATATTATTATAATATTATTAAATAATATTATTTCCCTTCTACGTGACTTTATTTAATAATATTATTTCCCTTCTAACGTGACTTTACCGAAAGAACCAAGAAGATTAACTATGTATGTTGAACTTCTTTCGCGCCGTACTTATCCAACTGTGCTGACCCGAGGTGCGGGGGAGGAGGACAACAAACTGAACACAAAAATAAGTTCTAAAGAAATTGGTTTTAAACTCGATTTTAGTCGGTCAGTTGACCTAATTGACTACTCGTCCCGGCTCTCCTCGCAACAGCAGGGTCAGAACCGTGGACACGTTACGCCTGTTGATTGAGCCGCAATATCAAATGTGAAAGTTTATACTGATAGGCAGAAGGCCCTTACATTGAAGGATACGTTTTTGGCTAAAAATGCCACAGTCACAACTCACAGACCGCCAGCCTCCGATCGCAGCCAGTGTCCCTGAAAGCGCGGTGCTACTCTTTTGCCCAAAATTGGGCCACAAGTGGTCTCGGAGCCATAAGAGATTGAGAGAACAAGTGTTTATTTCCCCGAGGAAGCAGTATTGTTATTAGCAGAATTGACAATAACTCGTAAATTATTCCCAAATTACACAAAAAAAGAATGAGTAAAATATATATATATTTTCTCTTTGATCAATACCACTCATAGTTATATTAACTACAGTGGTTGCAACAACAAAAAACAGTCACGCTGTAAATCGCAGGCGTAGTTCAAGTCCTCGTTTAAACATCTCCAATGATTAGCACGATGTGGTCTCAAAATGTGCCCCGCTCAATCTCAATAATTCTTCGAAACTTTTTTTTAAGTTTTAAGGCCCTAAAGTTATGCAAGGGTTCCTGAGACAACGTGTGGCACTTCTCGGTTGAGGTTATCCGTCCTTTCTGTAATGGACAAACGTGTGGTAGTGTGGGTAAATCAATTATAAATGACACACGCTACAATATTTTAAGTTATTTCCATTGCACAGGGCAATGTATTGTTACTGCAGCATGATATTATTTAAGTGATAAATAATTTGTTTTAAGTGTGTCGTGCTCTTGAATAAAATTCAAATGTACACCTTAATCCTTTGCAATGTAACACAGAAAAAGAATGGACAAGTTTATTAAATCCCTCCCGCCACCCCCCTGTCCACCCAGCAATATAAACGACGACACCACGGCTTAGTCGATCGGCAGGTCACGCGTGGTGGAGTGAAGCGTCAAGACGCAAAGTATCAAGACGTCTTTCCAGCGTGGAAGAGTAGGCCAAAGTACCCTCCATGAGGCCTCTCTAGCACTCCCTCTAGTGGAGGCCTTTGAGTCAGCAGTGGCGTGAGCAAGTATTTGCAGGGCTGCGCCTTATATAAAAACAAACATTGAAATGGAAATTGTGTTATTAAGCATTATTACCGATATAAATACTTTAGGAAATACTTAAAAAGCAAAAAGTTTTTACTCGCGTTACTTGTTTTTTTTGTACTTTATTTGCTTGGATGGAAACTGTTACTAATCTGGAAAAATACATGTTTAGATGTGGGCCCAGTGAAAACAGCCGAATTCGTGGAATAAATTCGCCGGAATTGCGTGTGCTTCTTTCAAAAAACCAGCTCGCATATATATATTTCAAAAAGTTTCGCGAAAAACATTTACGTTACACATCTATAAAACCCTGAAAAACGTGCTCCTTGCCAATAATATGAAATAACATTTATAGTTCTGATTGTTTATGCTTGAGTCGCGCGTAGCATGTTGTTTAGTCTTCGGAGCAATTCCGAATTTAGTCATAATTGGTTGTCCAATAGATAAACTTGCCCCGCCATAGGAACGTAGAGTTTCCTCGACACTCAATGACTTCGAACAACCAGGACATGATAACTCCCCCACACGTCTTTTGAACGAGACACCAACTTCGAGTTTTAACTATTTTCGCAATGTTAAATGTCATCACTGAAATTGACAAAAACAAAGAAATTGTCCACCTTTTATATTTGCACCTGATAATACAAACATATGCCAGGTCTCTCTCACGCAATAGCGATGGCTATACTTCTCTTTGGCATGGTCGACATGGAAAAGGCCAGGCTCGAGGCTCTCCTCTTTTCTTCTTCAGATTGCGACTCTGTGGAGTGTCTTCATGAATGCCATCGCAATGACCCCCTTGGTCTATAGAATTCTACCCATCCTACCCTGCTGTACAAAAAATATTAAACACTCTGGATGGACCATTCCTATATTTTATATAGTCTTGAGATACGGTCACATTTGGACTCTTTACAGCTCTAAATGTCATTGCATTTGATCTCAATTGGCTCTGACAAGGCCAAAGAGCCCACCCATTAAGACAGGCGCGGTTTTTGCGGTCGCGCAGCAAACATTTCTCAGGTTCTGGCACGGCGCGCTCTCCAACATATCGCTGCATCTACTGGGAGCCTCAGTTCAGTGCCAGAAGAAACCTCCTAAGCGGAGTAATGTCAGACATCGAGCCAAACAGCACGCGGCACAAACCATAAACACATCGGAAAGTCAGTCCACCCATCACCTGGGATCAGTGACGAAACTAAATGATCATCTCAGGGGTTGCGGGCAATCAGTCAAGTGGGGCCCCAATATTTGATCTATCTTACACGGTCGCACCTAGGCTATTCGATATCGTGCCTCCCCTTTGCCTAATCACAATCGTGACGCTCACGGTCTCGAACATTTACCGCTGTCGTGCTTGTCAAGGGGGACCCAACTCGTTGCTTTGGCCACGGGGGGGGGTGGAGGGGGGAGCAAGGCACCCCCTTGCCCCCACGTGCGTTACGCCGCTGGCTGCTGGGCTGCCGCTGCTGTCGCTGCTACGTTGTTGCCGTGTGCGCGGGGGGTCACGGGGCAGGCGCAGGCAGCGGAGCTGGAGGACCCGGCGGTGCTCAAGTCGCTGCTGCTGTCGCACGCCGTCAACAAGCGGCTGCTCTCCCGACACCTCAAGTCCGGCTCTGCGCTCGCCTCCATGCAGTCCGGCCGCTCCATCTACGTGCAGCAGTCACCCAACGGCGTGAGTGGGCCCGCCGTGTCTCTCTCGAGTAGAGTCTGTGTTCTACTACAACGCGGTAGTTAGTTGCGTTCCCGCGAGAACACCGCATTGTGGTGGAAAAATCGCGTTAAAATGAGCATTAATGTGGGGTAAAGCACAGTCCGCGATAACGCACGTGAGAATACGGTAACGCAGGCTGAACAAAGACCGAGGCATCCAGCAGCATCCCGCCTTGTGTGATGCAACGCCGATGCAGACGTACGACCGCTTGCTCCTACTCGCGTGAAGCAGTTCTGTTCGCTTCATCGCGTTACGTTTGTTACGTTAGAGAAAAAAAATGTGTTTCCTCATACATTCATCGCGAGAAAAAGGACTGCGTTTTATTTTATAATCTTGCACAATGCTGCGATGGTGGCGAACAGTGCGCTGCTCGTAAGCGTTTCTCTTCCCCGCCATACCGGGTTCCGCACTTGCACCGGTCGGAAATCCAACAAGATCCCGCTGATTATCCCTCAAGGGAAACTCAAACAAGAAATCCGCCTGTTCGGTCGCGTTGACATTGTGCGCTTTTAAATCCACGAGGATTGTCCACAAGTGGGGCAACATCCCCCCACCGCGATGTTCCAGTTTCATGGCCAGGTTGTAAAATCAGCCACGATTAACGTAAAGTGTCGGATTGTTCTTCGCCAAACACTTGCTGTGGCCAATCTTCTGAAAAGTCCTCGATTCAAAAGCTTAATCCCAAGGCATGCAGAGCGTTGCAAGCGTTTCTGTGCGCCGTATATTCTCTGCATCGTGAGCCGCACTTTTTTTTCATCTCGCTGTAATTTTAAGCAACAAAAGTTAACAGGGTGCGTCTTATACTCCGGTAGGTGTGTATGCGATAAGAATCGTGTAACTCTAAAGCACTGGGCAGTTTTTAATATCAGGCATAAGTTTGGAATGCGTCTTACTTTTCGGGGAAACTTTATAATCCAGGGAATACGGTAACTGGCATCAAACAAATGCCACAAAAAGATGCGCCTTTCTTATACATGTAGCAATATAGTGCTGGCGTTTGTTTGTGAAAGATGCCTATCATTCGGCGGCCTGCAAATGATGTTCAGCACATGTACACTGGTGCCTTCCTGCACGCCTGGTCATTGTCATTGTGACACTCTCCCGCTCCACGTCTGAGGGGGGTGCAACCTTGAGTCAACGTGTTTGGATGAGGGGAGTGGGTGGTGGTGGTGGTGGTTGTTGCAGGTAGCAGGTAGGCAAGGCCACAATGGGGCTGTACACACACGTGGGTTTCGCGTCGACGTGGGGTTGAAGCTCCTTCGACGTAAACGAATCGACATAAAAATTTTGATTTAAAGCTTTCGTGACTGCAGAGATTCATATTATTGGTTCTTTCGGTAAAGTCACGTGGAAGGGAAATAATAAAATAATAAAAATATTAAACAATTAAATTCTCACGACGTTTCGACTGCAACACGAGCAATCATCATCAGGTGTGAAAACCACAGCCACTATTTTCAAAAATGTTCTTGCTGTCCTCAGAGATTCACTCCACATCTTGCCAAGCTCTTGACTGGGTTATCGAATTTCGATTTAAAGCTTTCGTGACTGCAGGGATTCATATTCTTGGTTTTTTCGGTAAAGTCACGTAGAAGGGAAATAATAAAATAATAAAAATATTAAACAATTAAATTCTCACGACGTTTCGACTGCAACACAAGCAATCGTCATCAGGCGTGAAATCCACAGCAAGAACATTTTCTTGCTATATTTTTATTATTTTATTATTTCCCTTCTACGTGACTTCACCAAAAGAACCAAGAATATGAGTCGACATCAGTTGGGAGGCAGAGAAGAGGAGTCGGAATAAATTTCGACTTAAACTTTCGTGACTGCATGGATTCATATTCTTGGTTCTTTCGGTAAAGTCACGTAGAAGGAAAAAAAACATAATAAGATACAATTCTCATGACGTTTCGGCCACAACGCAAGCAGCCGTCCTCAGGTGAAGAACAGGGCTGTCGGAAAGACAGCGTCTGAATGAACACTGCTAAGCTTGGCAGCGTATTTTTTGACCCAGCTTAAAAATACGCTGCCAAGCTTAGCAGTGTTCATTAGGACGTTGTTTTTTTTCCGACAGCCCTGTTCTTCACCTGAGGACGGCTGCTTGCGTTGTGGCCTAAACGTCGTGAGAATTTTATCTTATTATTATTATTTTATTATTTCCCTTCTACGTTACTTCTCCAAAAGAACCAAGAATATGATTCTACATTAGTTGCGAGTTGGGGGGAGAGGGGATTTACCGTGGGCACCGCCCAACCGTCAACCTCAGGGCTCGCGCGAAGAGGCGTCAACTTGGGCTGAAAGATTTGGGAAAAATATCTAATTGCAATTTGTCTGACAGATATTGCGATTGCGATTTGATTTGCGGTAAAAAAATTCAAGTCAAGCTTCAGTTCGATATTCAGTGTGTAATAGATTTAAAACGTGTGATGGAGCATTACCACGTGATACCATCAAAACATGAACTGCTCCTAATGTTCTAATGCAAGGATAAGAACTTAAAAGATATGAATTGCTTCCAACATGTATTTATTAAAATACTTTAATTTAAATAGAACAATCAAACATAGAACAATTGTTAAGTTAAATAAATAAAGTTATAAAAATAAGAAATTTAAACATTTCCAATAAGAAACTAATCGGACTTTTCAAATCGCAAAAACATCGCAGCCTTTGCGATTTGCTAATCGCATTGTTTAAAATTGCGATTTCGATTTAAAATCGATTAGCCGTTCGGCCTTAGCTTCAAAGTCCCGAACGAACGTTGGTGCAAAAAAAAAGAAATTGGCAACCCGTGCCAAATCTGATAGGATTCACGGCGCCTAAGCACTCCGTATACAGCTGTCGGCTACGGATACCATGGCGACGTTATGGACAAACACCAACGCGAGATTTACCGGCCATAACCCCCGCATGTGCGAAACGCGCCTTCGGGGAGTTGTGTCGATGTTACGACAATGTTATTGTCGGCACGGGATGGCCCCGGCCATTGGAGGGGGCGGCAGCCAACTTTACGTATGTGTATATATATGTGTTGAATTTCTTTCGCACCGTACGTAGACAATCATGCTAAGAAAGCTGGACACAGCCTCGCTTCTCTGCATGTGAAACGCAACAGAGTTGAGTTTGTTGATTTATTTCTTGTCAAATCTGTAAAAGGCGAGAAAACCCCGTCATAACAGGATAATGGTGCAGGCTGGGAAACCAGAAGTTTCAAACGAGGCACAAACATGCGTAAAAAGCACAGAGCCTTTTGTGCATTGTGCAAAAAAAAATCAACATTTCCTGAAGAAGTGCATTGTGGTCCTCTTCAATCCCCATCTTCAATCCCCATCAAAATAAAAAAGGTCAATAATGTCAAATATTCTTGGTTCTTTCGGTAAAGTCACGGAATGCTGTCTTTCCGACAGCTCTGTTCTTCACCTGAGGACGGCTGCTTGCGTTGTGGCCGAAACGTCGTGAGAATTTTATTATGTTTTATTTTTATTATTTTATTATTTCCCTTCTACGTGACTTTACCGAAAGAACCAAGAATATGAATCCCTGCAGTCACGAAAGCTTTAATCGAAATAATGTCAAATGTCGGTTACATTTGCTAAAATGGATTTTGACGGTGACCTCTACAATGCAACTTCTTCAGGAAACGCCGATGGGTTATTTCGCCATACGCACCGAGGCAATGCGCTTTTGACAACTTTGTGATGTCTTGTTGAGCTGCGTGTTGCCTCAACAATGTCGACTTGCGTGGAATCAGACGCACTTCTGCAGCCGTCTGGAATGCGCTTTCAGATGCGCTTCTGCGGCCGTCTGGAACGCTCTTCCGTCCAATATTTGGAAGCCACTGGAGCTGTGCACTTTTAAATCTAGATTGAAAACTATTTTTTTTAGAACTGCGTTTTGTGTTTAGTTTGTTGTCCTTCCCCCACACCTCCGATTACCATGGTTGGCTACGCACGGTGTGAAAGAAGTTCAACATAAATACAAGCAATGTCGACCTGCATTGAGTCGACGCAAAAATGTGCACGCGGAAGGCCGCCGTCACACGCACCCCATGACGGACGCGACGTCCGCGACCGTCAGTTCGCTCACGACTTGCGCTACCCGGTTAACCTGCAACGCGATGTTTCATTTCAAGATAATGGCGTTACGTTGCAGTTCACATTCGCCTTGCAGCACGACAAAACTCAGGGCAATCATCTGTAATAACTACACAATTTTTTTTTCTCTCCCCAACTGCGGACTGTGTCTGTAATTACACGCCATACCGTGTAATTACACGGTAACTCCATTTGCTTTTTTTAACTTACGTGAGCCAGTTGTTCCGTGACCCGTTCTTATGCAAAGTCACGCAGCACGTGGCCATATCCGAGCGCAATTTGTCAAATGGCGAGTGGCTGCTGAGAACCACAACACACGCACCCAGGCAAGCAAACTGCTTTTTTGCCCGAGAGCGCAGATCCTGACGGTGAACTGCGTCCGCGTGATCAAGCCGAATATCCTGGCCACCAACGGGGTCCTGCACATGGTCGACGGAATCATCCCAAGGGTCTCCAACAACATCCGCAAGATCCTGGAAGAGGACAGCGAGCTGTCAACGCTGAAGGTCACGCGCTCGTGACACGCGCACTCTCACCAACGCCCTCTCACCAACACCTTCCTCACCAATGCCATTCTCACCAACGCCCTCTCACCAACACCTTCCTCACCATTGCCATCCTCACCAACGCCCTCTCACCAACGTGCACGTGTGCCCAACTTTAAGAATGGACACAAGTCGCCCCGAGCGTGCCCGACCTTGTCGGATCTCGGAAGCTAAAGCAGACCGGGCCTGGTTCCTGGCGAATATGAACTTGCCTGGGAATGTCAGCTGTCGTAGGCTTGGGCTGAGAGGTGCACAAGAGATGGTAGTACAGCAATGGATGCTTGAATCTACATTTGTGGAGCTTAGTCCCTCTTACGCATGCTTTTTTGTTTTGCCCCTGAGTGTTCTTTTGCCTGCCCACGTGCAGCAAAAAAAAAATCATGGGAATTGGCGTAAACGTCCCAATGTTGGTCGCGACTGAAAAAGTGTTCAGGTTCGGTGAGGCCTTCGTGCGTAAAGTTCATCGTCATTTTGAATATAAGAAACCCAACTTACACGTCCGCTGCATTGCAGCTTTAATTCTGAATTACATTAGACAAGATTGTTGGGTTCTTTGTAGGGGTGGGATGATGCATCGATGCGTAGCTTGATATCAGTTCTTTGTATAAGAATCGATGGGTTAATTTTTGTTGTATTCGTATATGTATCTAGAATGTATTTGGTTCGTCACCCCGACAGCCACTGCAATATATAAAAAAAAAGAATCGATTTTTTTTGTCGAAACGCCAGCGGTAATGGAAAGGTTGCGGGCCAAGTGGTTTACAGATACCATCTCTCGTGCTTTGCATTGGGGCAAGCGTGTGAGCAGAGGTCACTTTAGGCACGTGTGTTTCGTCAGAGCCATGCCAACCCAGCAAACACCAGAGAGCACTGGGACTCTTCGGGTGCCAATCCAATTCGAGTCGGGGGGGTGGGGGGGGTATTGATGAAAAACGTGATGTCAGCATAGCGAAAGTCAAACTGAAATTCGTAACAATAGTCAGAAGATTTGGATACGTTTTCCTTTCGGTACACGAACCAAAATACGTGCCTGTAATCCCCATGTGGATGGCAACGTTTGAGACTTCACCGGGACATGGTCCAAGTCAGTCAAAGGAGCTGATTATCAACAACAGCAGCTCATGGAGCAATTGCGTGCAGTGTGGCCTGCTGCTCGGGACTCAATGTGACTCCAACATTCAGTAACTATTTCCCGTGGATGAAAGATGACTAACATACACTCCTGGAACATGAATTGGTTGTTGTCAGAATGTCACTGTTGTGTTGGGGAAAACTTTCCCATGTGTTTTCCTTGCCGTGAAGCGAAAGGAATGCATTTAACTATTGAATGGAATGGAAACGTAATGGAACACAGAATTAAATAAAGTATACTTTTTGGATGCTTCTCTCTTTGATTTCCACGCGAGATTCTGCCTTGAGGTTGACGTAGATTGCCAGGATTTATCGCCAGGTAAAGAGCCCATTGCGAGGAGACCAAACTAAATGCAGAGCCAAACAAAAAACAAAATAGCATTGTTTTACTGGTTTTTTTTACTGTTTAAAATTACGATAATATAATTGAAACTTGAAACCAGTTATCGATTTAAGAGAGCCTGTTGTTTTGTTTTTAATGGGAGTGAATCAGTGGCAAAATAGCGCGCTGTGCTGTAAATCTGGTAACCTGAGTTTGATAACTCATCCTGGTCAGCATCGGTGGGCCAGTGTCGTCTGAACCGATCTTTGGACCACCACGCTTCCACCAACCCACGCTGGCCAGTGCGGTGAAGTATGGTTAAACAATCCACATGATCGACACGGCGTGGGGAGGCCTTCATCCAGCAGTGGATTTACGTACGGTTGTAATTTATTACGTCATTTTTAATCGCCAAATGAGACCAGAAGTTGGGTAAAGAATAAATATATGATTCTGCAAACAGGTTTGAGACTGCAAACAGCTAAAAAAACTGAAATCAAATGGTTCATGGAAATTAAATAGAATACAGATTATTACAACATCAAAACACATTACTACGCAGTGGATTATTACAACCGTTTAAAACAAAAATACAAGAATAGAAATTAAATAATATCAACATTTAAATGGCTTGATTAAAGAGGCCATTTCTTGTTTGTAACGCGTGCAGTTGGCGATCCAGAAGGCTGGGCTGATGGACATGGTGACCAAGGAAGGCCCCATCACTCTACTAGCTCCAACCAACGCCGCATTTGAGAAGGTGCCTGTGGACGTTATGGAGCGCATCCTGAAGGATCCTACCTCCCTCAAAGGTAAGGCCGTAATAGAAGATTGTAATTCTACTACAGTCACCGAAACTCATACAACACTTCCCCCAACCCCGCCCCAAAAAATGTGCCGCCAAGCTGCAGTGTCCAAGAAGGTGGACAAGGTGCAACAGGGAAATAATAAAATAATAAAAATTAATAAATAATAAAATAATTCTCACGACGTTTCGGCTACAGCGCAAGCAGCCGTCCTCGCCTGAGGACGGCTGCTTGCGTTGTAGCCGAAATGGTTGCTTGAAGCCGAAACGTCGTGAGAATTATTTTATTGTTTTATTTTTATTATTTTATTATTTCCCTTCTCCGTGACTTTACCGAAAGAACCAAGAAGATGAATCCCTGCCGTCACGAAAGCTTTAAATCGAAATGTAAGGTGCAACAAGTTGCACCTTGTCCAGCTTCCCCCTTCACGTCGGCATATTTTAGCAGTTCGTTACGTACGCCAGGGGGGTCCCCAACCTCCCAGGTCGCGGACTGGTACCGGTCCGTGGCCTGTTAGGAACCGGGCCGCACAGGAGCAGGAGGTGAGCGGTGAGTACGTGCGTGGCCCGCCAATTATTTTATTTACCACTTCCGTCCGCGCCTCAGCCACAGTGTTGGTGAGCCCACAAGCTGCTAACCCCTAGCCAACATGAGTAAAAAACAAACGTTGCTGGAGAACTTCTTTGAAAAGGGGGAAAGACCCAATGATGAACCCCCCCCCCTCCCCCCCGGTCCGTGAAAAAATTGTCTTCCACGAAACCGGTCCCTGGTGCCAAAAAGGTTGGGGACCGCTGACGTAGGCTGTGAAGAAAGTTCCAACATACGCGCGTACAACTCTAGTCTCTGTACCCGACCACAAACCACCCTTCCCTCTGTTATCATCATGTAGCACGGTTGGCTACGTACGGCGCGAAAGAAGTTCAACAAACATGCGCACGTATCATTGTTCGTACTGCGCCCTCCCACGCAGTGCGTTCCAAGAAGCCACGACGGTTGCCATCATTGGACGTAAACTCGTGAGTTGTTGTTCATCCAGCCACGCGCTGAAAAAGAAGAAGAAAACCTCGAAATTAAATCACATACGGACAAAGATCACGCATAACAACTGTTGCAACTCAAAGTCGTATATCCTGGGATGATGGTTTCGAATCACAGAGGTCATTTAAACAGTTAAAATTGAGTGTTTGAAAGACCCTTCTGAAATTTGTAATGTCCATATTAATTCTATTTTTTGGTCTTTTGGTAAAGTCACGTAGAACAAAAAAACTAACAAAAAACTCCGACGTTTCGATCGCAACACAGGCAATCGTCGGGCTGACCAGCCCCACCCCACCCAGCCCCACCCCTCCCACCCCCCACCCAGCCCCTCCCCACCCTCCCCTCCCTACCCAGCCCCACCCTGCCCACCCAGCCCCTCCCCACCCTCCCCTCCCCACCCAGCCCCTCCCTCCCCACCCAGCCCCTCCCTTCACAACGGACGGACGGACACAATAATCAATCCCCTGTGGGTTGGTGTAACCAGAGGTTCTTACCAGTATAAACTTATACAAATTCAAACATAGCTAAGTAAGGGAGGTTAACTGCACTTTAAAATGTGCAAGATGTAGAAGGCTGACTAGATAGGTCATGCAATTGAGAAATCTGCACAATTACGCTCTGAAAATGAAAAGTTTTAAGTGTCTTCATGAACCAGGAAAACCATGTTAAAGGTTTTGTTTTAAACTACACTTAACCACATATAATGAGCATAATGACCGTTTCGAGTTAATATTTATACAAAAAAAATGTGTGGTGACTGCCGTAGTTTAATATGGTTTTATTTACAGGATATCCATACTTGGCTACAGATCACAATGTCAAATAACTGCTCATGTGCAGATGACATTTAAAAAATTGAACGTTTTGGCCCAGCTGGTATTGTTATGGCATTTGAAAAGTATTATTGCTACCAAAACTTAAGCATCTTGTAAAATATTTCAAGGCCAGTTTTTTTTACTTTGCACTGCGCTGTTTGTGTGTTTTGTGTAGAGTAAACTTTGGTAGAATTTAAAAGCAGGTTCATTCTTCCATCAACATCTGTGCCGCTTGCCTGCAGTAAGGAGCTGCCTAAACCCTCCCGAGGGGAAACTTCGCGATGCATTTTGGGTAGCTTAACACGTGGTCTGGGCTTATTCGCAGGCCATTAGCAGACAACGGAGAACCCACGAGACACAGATAACTAACCGCCATGCAAACAAGAACAGACGCAATTCACCGCGGTTACTTTCCTGATATCCCACATTGTTTGCAAGCAAATGCCACAGTTGTTAAGTCGTGCCAAATTTTGTTATAATAGCTGGAAGTTTGTGGTTTTCTGCATGACTGCTTAAAACATTTTCCCTTCTACCAGAGGTTGAAATATTTGATCGGTTCACATGTTTTAGCTACACAGGGATCTGAATACCGCATTTCATGCCGCCAAATAAATTAAAAATCGGAACACAATCTGCATTATTATTGTATTACGTAATTTATTGCAGCTCACATTAACATTAACTCCAGTTTTATATATAAATAGCCATGCAGCGTATCTTACGCGGCAGACTGCTTTCTCTGTGTTATTGAGATAGTTTTCAAGATAATGAAGGACTCTTGATTATTCCCAATGAATAGACGATGACCAAAGAAGGTTTATCGGTACCACGTGGGGTGCAAAATGGTGCATGTAACCACCATGGGCCGCATCTCGCCATGGGTGATGATTTACACCACTTTTTTTAATTATATTCTCTTATTAAACATGATACCAGTGCCCACTCTTTGATTGTTTCAGTAAAGTCACGTAGAAAGAAAATAAATTAAATAATTTAAAATTAAATAATTAACTTTTTAACTAAATCTTTTCTTTTATTTCTACGTCACTTTACCGAAAGAACCTAAGAGTAATTCCTGCAGTCACGAAAGCTTCAAATACCAGTGCCCAATTTCGGACGCGTTTTCATTATCGGCTACGACTGAATTTGCCATCATCCAAATGGATGATCTCGTGATAGGATTGATAAAGAATATAATTGTTGGAATTTGTCACCTCAGGCCGTACCAATAACCATTTTCAAGCCAGTGTGCCGAGGATGAGATAAGAGTTATAATAGAGCTCAGATGCTTAATCTTTTTTAAAATGCACTTTCAAAAACAGCGACTACAGCCAGAATGGCGATAATCAAATTCAAATCCCATGACTCTGGGACTGATAAAAACATGAGTACCACTTTGTGGGAAGTTTTCCTAGACGCGATAGACAAACTCTGATTTCCTCCCACTTGTAATAATATTAAAAAATAAAGTTACTGGCCAAACATCTTAAGCAGAACTCTCCTGGAATGAATATTACGATTTTTACAGCGATTTCCAGGGTAAATGCAGAAACGGTAAAATCAGTCCACACAAATAAAACACCTCGTGCGTGCTTGTAAATGTAATACGATCGCATTTTTATTAATATCCTATCTAAATGTGACCCCATGTCAAAAGGATTTTGAGAAAATGTGCACACTAAGTGATTTTGTAGAAGGAGACGGCCAATCGGGGACTGAGCAAAATAAGAAGAATTTTATTCTTGGTTCTTTCGATATAAGGGAAATGATAAAAAAAAAAATGTTATCTATTTTTTGTTTTATATTTTTATTATTTTATTATTTCAAGATTATGAATCCCTGCAGTCACGAAAGCTTTCAATCAAAAGAAGATCTTGATCTGGAATTTTAAGAGGGGGTAAGGAATCGATAGCATGGGTGGCTGAGGGAAGAGAGTCCCCAGGCTGTGGGGGATACAACAGAGGAGAGTGAATGAACTCACTGAGCAGAGGTTGATTGGGAGGGGGCTTCGAAAGGGAATTGGGGTTGAGATGGGAAGACGTAAATAATTTGATGTCGCAAACATTTTAATTCATACCTTGTGTTCCACCTAAGAAAATGTGAGCATTAATGAATGTCTATTTTTTTTAAAAACTCAATCAATGGCTTTCAATTAGAACCAAGTGATAGTTAATCGATACATCGCCTTCCTGTCGATTGGGAGGCCCGAATAAATATTTACGAAACACAAGAGCGAAACAAACCCACAACTAACGTGGCCTCACGTTCACTACTCACCCCGCCATCACCACCCTCTGACCTTTCCCTCCTGACAGCGCTCGTCACGCACCACCTCATCCGCGCGGTGCACTGCTCCGAGGCCATCCTGAGCGGCTCCAGTGTGGACACAGTCGAGGGCTCCTCGCTGGTCATCGGCTGCGACGGGGACCGCTTGACCATCAACGCGGAGGCGGTGATCGAGCAGAGGGACATCGTGGCCACCAACGGTGTGCTGCACAAAGTCAGCGAGGTCTTCATCCCCGACTCGGGTGAGACGGACGCCGCATCACGCGAACTTCGCTTCGACTGAGATCATTAAGATTTGTTTTGCCGCTATATATGTAGTTGAAGTGTCTCTCTCTCTCTCTTTCCCCGTGGTCGCGTGGATTTTCTCCGGGTCCTCCGGGTTTTGTCCCTCCACACTTAGAATCAACGTGCGTTTTAGAGTCTTTGGTTGCTCTAAATTTCCACTTTGGTGAGATATCCATTTGTGGCCACGTCGCTTCTGAAAAAAAGTTAATACCTCAGTGGTTTTACCTGGGAAGATAGAAACAAAGTTTCGTTTTATTTGTTTCTTTTTTTAAGTGATTTGTTTACCTTTCGCATACGTTGCATTCCTTTCGTGTTTTTGTATTACTCTTTGGGTCTTTCGGTAAAGTCACGTAGATAGAAAAATAAACAAATAAAAAATAAATCACGACGTTTCGATTGCAACACAAGCAATCGTCTTCAGGTGAAAAAATACAGCAGGTGGACTGCTGACGCAGGAAGAAATGAAACGCTCTGACCCACCCCATTAGATTATTCGAGTCTAAATAAAGATTCTGATTCAACTTTACTTCAAAACGGCACCCATTACTCAGGGGTTCGTTTCTCCCTCCGTATATTCCGGAAAGCTGATAGGTTGCCTTGGAGATTCAGAGATTATTAGCGTAAGGCACTACCACCAGAGTACAAGTTACGCCTATCCATAACAATTATTTCTGCACCCAATATCCCTATAAGCCTACGAAGAGGTTTGTAAAACGAATGAGGACAAAATCAGGTGAGATGAATATTGTGCGCCAAAATTATTATTTATGAAAGTGTTCTGGACTGTTCCAGCCAAAATTAAGCACTGCAGCTACTAAAAGCAAAGGTTGTGGTCGAAAGGCCATGTATAAACAGTCGGATCGCAAATCTGAGGTATAATATATTTTTAATACGAGGGGACAAAGCCTGGGTAAAACCAGCTACATCCCCATGAGCTCCACTTGAACTGCACTTTCAGCTGCGCCCATTTCTGAAAGCAAAGGCTGTGATCATAAGTAACCACCACATACGGTATGTATATATATATACACATACACACGGTCACCCATGTATAGATGTCCCATTGGTTATAGAATGAAAAACTGTCAAAGCGAAAGCCTCCGTGAGTGACAGACCAGAGTGATTGATTGCTTCTCGATGGGTGTATTTCTACCGCGTAGGTTTTCGCCATTGTGCTGTGGAGCACTCCGATGTTTGTGTTCGGCATGTCCCTCGCGTGCCTCGGTTTTTATCCGTTTGCTTGTGAGAAATGTGCAACCTGTGCTTTCCATAGGGACACTTTTGGAAAAGTTTTGGCTTGTAAGCTTCTTGATTTGAATGACGTTGTGTAGAGCAAACGCACAGTAATTCAATTGTCAGTCATAAAGCCATTATTTTGTCTTGACAGTTGGTGGACTGCGGATAAATGCCACCTTCAAATATCTATTTTGGACAGCGCAAAGTTATACAGTACATGGTTTGGAGTTTGTAGCCCCAGGTCGCACACAGGAGATATGATTTGTAATTCATTTGGACAGGAGAGCGACGGATATTTAACTTTCAATTTCCAAAAATTGGTGAACTTTCTTGGAGAAATTACCCCGGGCCGGTTAAGAGAGTGAACTGTCAATTCCCACACAAAATTGCCTCGGAGTAAAACGCTGCCAAATCAGTCTCCTATATACGCACCCTATAATTAGTGTATAAATAGTGACTTAAGACTAAACAGTTTCAAATCTAATTTCTTAACGTTTTTTTCCGCCTCTTGCTAAATTGTTTATCTTTCAACTTACAAATCAATTCCAGAAGTTTTCTGCACTTTTCCAAATCTTTCTAAAACCGCGCTTGATAATACGTAGCACAGACTGAAATAATACCGGGGGGGATAAACGCCTGCACAGACTGTTTTTGCAAAGCATGCAGGACTTTATTTTTCAACGTGTTTTTTTCCGTCTCCCGAGGATGACGATAATGCACACGGAGTACGACGTACGAGTAAAATGTGTTTACAATCAAGTTTGTGTGATTACTCTTTCAGCCAAGACCGCAATAGAGCTCACACAGACCGAGGATCTATCCAAGTTCTCCAACATGTTTTCTGAAGAGGGCCTCCAGGCTTCCCTGAGGCCCAACGTGGCCTACACGCTCCTCGCGCCAAACAACGAGGCCTTCACCGGTAAACAGGGCCTTCAACTGCATCCTCCCCTACTAAGAACAATAATAATCATAATTGCAATGTTTTACATGCAAATATTTCCGGAATTGGACGCAATGTTCAATTGAGTATGGAGCCAGAGCTCAAAGTCCCTCGTAAGCCAGCTGAATAGGTTAGAGTCTGAGCGAGTGAGAGCCTGGACAGGCGAGAGTCTGAACGCGTGAGAGCCTGAACCAGGTGTGAGCCTGAACGGGTAAGGGCCTGGACAGGTGAGAGCCTGGAAGGGTGAGGGCCTGAACCAGGTGTGAGCCTGTACGAGTGAGGGCCTGGACAGGCGAGAGTCTGAACGCGTCAGAACCTGAACCAGGTGTGAGCCTGAACGGGTAAGGGCGTAGACAGGCGAGATTCGGAACAGCTGAAAGCCTGAACAGGTGAGGGCCTGAACAGGTGAGAGCCTGGACAGGTGAGGGTCTGAACAGGTGAGAGCCTGGACAGGTGAGGGCCTGAACAGGTGAGAGCCTGGACAGGTGAAGGCCTGGACAGATGGCAGCCTTAATAATTGAGCCTTGAGCTGCTACTTCCAGTTGGCTACTGCATCGAGGCTGTGTTTGTGCAGTGGGAGGGAGTTCCAGATGGCCTCGCTCACTGCGTTCCGTAACCCCATTGAATGACTGATTAGTCCCTATTACACAAAATCAAACAAGCAGCTCTAACGAGACTGCTTCACCTGAAATGTTTTGGCAAAATAAACTGAGTGAATGTAAAATGAGCTCATTTATTAACAATAATTAAATAATTTCATTTATAATAATCAGCTGATCAGTCATTTAAACAGAACACACACCCCTGTTGTAAGGGACACATGGTAATTACATAAGGAGTGGCCTGTTGCTATTATCTCTCTCAGTTTATTTGCTGGCATATTTATCATAATTTTTAAGGTGATGAGCGATGCTGTCATGGTGTAACAGTTAGTGCACTGGTCTTTCAATCCAGATGTCGCAGGTTCAATCTCCCAGTGCGGTACTGGAAACAACGGTACAATAATCTTAAAATTTGTCTACCCAAATGAGTGCACCACGGCTAGTCTGTGGCATGTGACGGGGGTAATGACCTGTTCTAAACCTTCTGGCCAGCATGGAAGGGAATGCTAAATACCCTCTAGAGAAGTGTTCTTCGCAAATTTTCAGTGGGGGGCCACTGTCACCCACAAGACATCATCAGTGTGAGGACCCCCACACATTTGAAACCACTGTGCTTCAACAGCACAATGATGGGGGATGTTTTCACATTTGTGCATTGTCGGGGGTTGCAAGTCAGGGGCCGCACTAAACGCCACCGAGCCCGTCAGTGGCCCGCAGGCCTTGCAATGAAGAACACTGCAGTAGGGGGTTACCTCTAATTCGCAGGGCCGCACCTTTACCGTCTAGACTTATTAGGGCCATTAGAGCGGCCACACAGTGGTAGACGTTTGCAGCCCTTAATGTTCGCGACAGGACGACCTTCCCCCCTTTTAAAACGGTTTCGCTCTACAGACAACACCATGGAGGAGATGTCCACGAACACCCGTGACATTCTGCTCAACCACGTCATCAAGAATCAGCAATCGCTCTATCAGCTGTACGGTGGACAGACGCTGGACACCCTGGGTGGGCGGAAACTGCGCGTGTTCGTCTACCCGACCGTAAGTGGACGAGCACGTGGTAAGGAGGCCACCACTTTAACCCGTACTTTATGAGCTGCATGTCTTAGGGTTCAACGTACAGGACATTCAAACGGATGGGCAAATCTTCTATACTGGTTTCGTGTTTGGTACTTGCAAGGTTGGGCTTAGAATGGAGCAAGACAGTAATGGAGAATAGAGCTGGGCTATTTCGATTATTTAAGTGATCGGTTACTGTACTCAATCGATAATAAGTTTGATTGCTGGACTAAGCCGAGAACTAAAATAATAACTGGGAAAATGATCAGGCGTGTCATACTGGGCGTGGCTTATAGCGGGTTCCTGCCTTCAGAAGGCAGGGCGTAGGGGCTGGTTCGATTAATTTAATGCAAAAAAAAATGATTGTCGAGTAAAATTTGGAGTTGATCAATCGACGCATTCGGCTAATTATCCCAGCTCTGAATGACGGTGTCGACTGGAAGGAGAGGTTGCGATGGGTGGGTCCGATGGGCGGGGCACATGGGCAGAGCAGAGGAAGGTTTGATGACTGAGACCAGGCACTGAAGTATTACCCAGAGGTCAGTAGCCGAGGGGGTGGCCCGTAGCCAGATCGTGGGACACTTTGAGAGCATCGCTTGCGGGAGGTCGGGTGCCGACTGCGTAGCACATGTGGATTCTGGCAGAGGGAATACATGGCAGCGGCACCAAGAGCATTGGCCATGATGACCGCTCTAAATGTACCTTAAACTACCAGCATTGCTGTTATGCATCCATAGTTTCAATAAAATAAAATTACTTAAGTATCCTGACCGGTTGTCTCTAGTCAGTTACGTTTTCTAACCCAGCTGATCAGTGTGTGTCAGTGAGTCATAAATACACGTTTATCTGATGGTAAAAAGTTTTATTCAGTTTCTATTAACATTAAGTGTTTGTGTTTTCGCTCAGTGTCTGTTCTACTCAATTATAAAATATATAATTCCATGAGAAAAAATCATTGCGGACAATGCGTTATTAGTTCTGTGTTGGTACCTCTTTAAGAGGCACTGTAAGCTCAAGTAGCAGATTGCTCGATTTGCTTCCCATGGTCTGAAATTCCCTTTCCCCGGCCATCCCTGCCGTCAACTTTCCTGTGCCTGTGCAAGTCGGAGACTCAAGACATTCCGTTTGTGTCCGCTGTGACTCATTGTCTCTTCCTGTCTGTAACACGCCCACTGTTCTGTACATCACCTTGACATACGGATGCATTTAGACGCTTTATAGACCCACGTTGTGTTGAATTGTTTAATCGGCGCTGTGCTGTAGGTGTGGCGTCCATTGTGTTGAGCTTCTGTCCACACTCCGGGAACATTAAACAGCACACGGGCGTTCTCGCGTAAAGAGCCAGTGCGTTAATTCTTCACGTCTTGGCTTTAATCCCAACAGGAGATTCACTTCCCGTCGACGGGCAATCCTCATAAATGTAAAATAATCTTCCGTCGCAAGGGCTGTAGGCATTTGCAATTGAGATGTATGTGCCTCAGTGGGTCAATTAATAAAAGAGAAAAAAAAATCCTAAAATAAATCATCTGAAAAATAGAGCCTGTCTCAGAAAACTACGCTGTTTTACAGAAAAAAATCATTAAACCAACACTCGAATTATCTGACTTCCTCCACCAAACTGGAACTTTTCCAGACATTGTTCTGTGCCGAACAGATGCTGGGACTGAGCTCCAACCTCCGCATGCAGCGAACTCACAACCCCCACGCAGGGCTGGATTAAGTTTGATGGGGGTCCGGGGCTATTCTATTTTTTGGGGGTTCTCTTCATGTATTCGATGCCTCCCCTTCACTCTTTCAACTGCCACCGTCACCCAATGCCAAACACTGCACTGTTATTCACCTCTGTAATTTAAATGGGATATTTTAATTGTAACATTTATTAAAATGTTAAACAAACAAGACGTGTTTTTTTTTTCGTATCGGCAGTTAAGTGGTAGTAATACACTTAGCGATGCTATGGCTTCAATGACCAAATTACCTTTAGGATTTATCCCAGTGCCACGGCACTGCGTTTTGACCAGGGCTTACATTTTGCAGGAACATTTTCGGGGACACCCCAACCCCTCCCTCTCCCAACAGCTCAGTCCAAGACAGCTCCAGCAGAAATTGAGCCCTTGTTTTGAGTTTTATAAAAAGCTGTTCATTTTGGCGAAGGATGGAGCTCTCGAAATCCGGGGCCCCAGCCTGCGGCTCGCGAAGAGCCCGCGCCCAAGCCGGGTGCACGCCGGAGCGATCAGCCGCGCAGTCGAACGATGCTCAAAATCATGCGGCTTAACCGTCGCCTGCAACTGCCATGTCTCCTACATCTGATCGAGCAGTTCCACAACAACGTATTCAGGATTGTAACAACAGGTCATCGGTCGCAAAATGTGCACGCCACGCGGTCAAACGCGAACTGCCAAGCGGATCGACGGTTGAAAGCAAAGTCTGTCTCCGCTGTCACCAACCAGCAGCAGAGACGTCCACGCGTGCAAGCGATTCAGTTGCACGCGACCAAATTGCGCGACCAACCGATCGCTCGCTCGGGTGTGGGCCCCGGCTTTAACCCCCTCCTCCCCCCCCCCGCTATCTCCGCCCAGGCGATCTGCATTGAGAACGCGTGCCTGGAGTCCCAGGAGCACACCGGGCGGCGCGGGGCCGTGTTCGTCATCAGAAATGTCCTGCGCACGCCGAGCAAGAGTATCATGGACAGCCTGGAGAGCAGCCAGCACTTCAGGTCGCAGAGCGCAAACAAAACACGGAGCAAAATCAGAGATTGGGGGGAGGGGAGCCGACGGTCGGTCTGTCGGGAGGCCGTAGCTGGCCCTCGAGTCTACACGTCACTTCCTACGGCCCATCATTCCATTTCATATGGCCCGCTCCCGCATGGGGGCTACCACTTCAAATGGACCGCACATAGGGTTTCTTGCTCCTGTGAGATTCACGAAACCCGGGGACGTTTTATGGGGACAAGAGTACCTCGCAATAAAGTAAATGGGACGAACTACAAATAAAGCCATTGTCTCAAGCGGTGTAACGTTACGCAAACGATGAAACCATTTATAGATTTCCCACGACGGCTACCTCAAAAAGAGGACGATGCTGGGAAAATCAGGACAGGAGGCGACCCTATCCGCAAACGATATGTATTCGTCACTGCAAAGATCTTAGCGGCACTGATTGGGTACTGGATGTGAATATTTTCAGCCTAGAAATCCTGTTTCTAATTTGAACGCATTCAGTCGCTTGCTTCACTGCTCAGTCGACACACATGTTACTTTGTATATTGTTATTGCATAACGCTAAAGTGTGTGTTAATGTTAATGCATAGCCCGCCAAAGGTATTTGAAAGTCCTTTTCAGCCCCCATTAAGGAAAAGGTTCCCCACCGGTACGATAAATGAATGTGAAACCCAATGAAACAAATGTCTCATATCGTGTAGAAAACTACTTGGGCTATGTCTCAGGACTTTCCGACATGAGCTTCAAAGTTTGCAACTGAAAGTCTTTGAAATCATGGTCCATCACTCCATCAAAGCACTCCCATAACAATCCCCCCCCCCCCACCCCTCGTTTTCCAATACATTGTCGTGGGTCAGAGTTGTTCTTCGACCCGAAGATTTATCGATAAAGTTATTTTAGTTTTCCTTTTAGTTTTTCTTGATGACGTACACGCACGTCGTCGGAACGTGAAAGGGTTCAATGATATTAGACGTCTGAGCTACCCAGCTATCTCTAGGAGAAATCAACTATTCTTCCCTAGTAACTCGTTCTGAGTACTGCAAGTTGAGCAGCAGGGAGCTCAACTGGGGTTGGACGGAAAGAGCTCGAGCCACGGACCTGCCCTTGCACAGAGAAACTGGAGAATGTGTACAATGATCTTGATTTGAAGCTTTCGTGACTGCAGTAATTCATACTTTTTGGTTATTTCGGTAAAGTCACGTAGGTAGAAATAAAATAAATATAACCTCTTGCCACGGCAGCTCTCTCGCCAACTTCAGCAATTTTTTCTTGCTGTGGTTGTCCCACCTGATGAAGATTGCTTCTGTTGCAATCGAAATGTCGTGATTTGTTTTATTTTATTTTACTTCTAACTACATGACTTTACCGAAAGAGCCAAAGAGTAATGTGTAGAATAATTAAAATGAGTACAACAACGATGTTTTTGTTGGGTGCAGCATTCTGGTGGAGCTCATAAAGGCGGCCGGCCTGAAGCAGCAGCTTTCCCGATCGGGGACTTTCACGATCTTCGCCCCGACGAACGAAGCGTTCGCATCGATGACCGAGCTGGAGATCGAAGCGCTGAAGGGTAAGGCAGCCCCTCGCACCTCACCTGTGTGCAGGGCCGGATTAACGCAGCGGCTTTCGGGGCCACAGCCCAGGGTGGTTGAAATGAATTCTATAGTGGCGCATGATACATCCCACAGTGGTGTATTTTGAAAATGAAAGCCACAGCATCACTTTGTGTAATACTACCAGTTATGGGCAAAAATAAAAATAGCTTTCTTCATTGTAAATTAGATTTAGTTTTACTTTTCGTATATTTAGAACTGAAATAACCAAGGAAAATAACAGTGATGGTGAATGAGTAAAGGAGGGGATTGAATTTATAGATGGGCTCCTTAAAACACAGCCCCCGTCAACCAAATCGGGCTCTGCTAGTTGGTAATCAGCCTTCATAAACCAGGTGCACACACCTCTGCATAGGTCATAGGAAGTTTTTGCTGTAATGTAAAGCTATAGCATTTGCAAACTCTTGCTTTGATAACTCTCAGTTAGAGAGATGTCCAGGAGAAAGGGGATAGGAGTTGGCTACGTGTTTGGAGTTTATTTTTTTCCCAAGACCATTGAGAGGCTTATAATGGTTAAAATCAATTGCCTTATTTCCACCCCCCCCCCCTTCCCCACAGCTGTCTCTTGGCAAGTGAGATTCGTAAATAAGTGTTCTGGCTTGCAAAGGCATACACATTGTGGTTAATATTTCAGAATGAAAACCAACACCACAAGCTGCTACGGCTGATGATAATTCTGGGCTGTCGACCAAAAAAACCTCACATTGCTATAAAAAGACCAGAGCAATTTTGTTTTTAAACCTAAATAATCAAGACTACGGAACCCCCAATTGCCACATCTATGACTACATTCTCTGTCTTGTGTTAGGTCTGATTATGGAGGCGATTATTTCCCAATGTGCATTCTGAAGGGAGACCACAAGTTTGATGTGTGGCCTCGGTACTGGCTTTTCTAAAGGTGGCCAAGAGGACAGAGCAAGCCTCATTAATGCTCGGAAACATCCAATGCAATTGTTTCCACAGGCTGATCAGTTAGATGAAGTGTTGGTGCGTGTCTCAGTTGGGGCGAACAAGTTGCAATCGTTCCAATATATATTTGTTTCGTTTCTTGAAACGAAGCTTCATGAAAACTACCATTGTTAAAGTCGTAGCTCGAAAATAACATAAAACATATTACTGCTTAGCAAGGGTGCTCTCCACAAATTGTCTCAATATACAACCACATGGCTCCATGTGTTCTCTGCGTATAGCGCACGACTCAATGCATCAGCAAGTTCCCCTGCCGCTTGTTAAATTGCCCTGAGAGAAGAAGAAGAATTGGCCACAGTTTCTCCCATTTGCAGAGATTGCAGCTGGGCATCACCAAAAAAACAAATCCATTGCAAAGCTGGATCTACACAAACATCATAGGAGCACCGTTCCAACACAAGCAACATACCCCTGCCATTGCTCTGGTAGAGGGAAGAAAAAGAGCAACTTCTGATAGAAGCACACTTTGATATAAGCGCAAACTTGAACTTGCTCCCCAGGGAGTGTGTGAATGACCAGCCTTATGGCTCACATCAGCACCGGCAGAAGTGACGGATGCTCCGGATATGAAACTGCCTCCCCTCAACACATTGTCGGCGAGAACACCGATTCTAGTCTTCAAGGCCTTCAAATGTCGAGTGCACACATGGACATCTCCTAACTTCACCGCACGCCTTGAACCAATGATTCTGCCGATTAGATGTACTAATGTGTGATATGGCTATTGTTCACAATTGCACCAAATAAATAAATAAATAAACGCCTCATTGTCTGCTTTCTTCCCCGATCGCAGCTGACCCAGACCTCCTGGAGAACATCCTCAAGTTCCACATGCTCAATGAGGTCGTCGTGAGTGGCGGCATCGCCAACAGGGTGACCAACTTCCTGACGACACGTCTCGGAGGTTCCTTAGAGGCCACGACGGTCAGAATGTGCACCTCCACCTCCACCGCCACCTCCACCTCCACCGCACCGCCACCACCACCTCCACCTCCACCGCCACCTCCACCACCACCTCCACCGCCACCTCCACCTCCACCGCACCGCCACCACCACCTCCACCACCACCGCCACCTCCACCTCCACCGCACCGCCACCGCCACCGCCACCACCACACAATCATGCAGACTGCGGTCATCCTCGCAAGCAGCGACTTTTTAATAATTTTCGATTTAAAGCTTTCGTGACTGCAGGATTCATCTTCTTGGTCCTTTCGGTAAAGTCACGTAGGATGGAAATAATAAAATAATACAAATAAACCATAATAAAATATATGTATTATGGTTTATTTTTATTATTTTATTATTTTTTATAACTATCGAACAAAGACGGTCACCGCATCGCTCGCTCTCAGATGCCCCTTCTGCGGCCGTCTGGAACGCTCTTCCTTCTGATGGTAGGAAGCCGCTGGAGCTATGCACTTTAAAAGCGCGGGAAGAACATGCAAACTTGATAAATACAGACGTCAGGATTGGGATCGAACCCATGGCCTCCTTTATACCAGGCGAGGTAGTTAACATCTCACCACTGCGGCACCCTTCTCGGAGCATATCACAGTAGGACAAAGAATTTTAGATTTGAAGCTTTCGTGACTGCAAGGATTCATACTCTTAGTTCTTTCGGTAAAGTCACGTAGGTAAAAAATGAGGTCGTCACCTGAAGACGGAAGCTTGTGTTGCCTCCGAAACGTTTATTTTTATTAATTTTTATTTCATTTTTTACCTACGTGACTTTACCGAAAGAACTAAGAGTAGGACAAAGGATGTTGCCGCAGTGTTCTGTGTAGGTAACGTAGCCCGGCAGCCGCCTACAACACCTGCCTCATGCATGGTGGGTCCAAGTGCTATGCAGGCTCAAACCAGCTTAGCTTCTTTGGAGATTTGACGAGATCCGGTGCAACGGGGTGATGTGGTCATACGCCACCTCCGATAATAATAATAATTTATGCCTTGATGTTGGAATTTACGATGTTCTATTGAATCGGTGATTGCCTTATCTTGTGCGATGTAAACATTGTGGCCGTTTTTGTGTCATCGGGCATGCGTTTACATCGGCGCTATTCGCCCATCGGACCAATTCACACAAAACCATTCCGCCTTGCCGTATATCTCAGGGCTTGCGACGTAAAGTGGATAAATTCGCCGCCGTAACAATCCTGTACTGCACGAGCTGCATCCCGCTGCAGCTGTTTCGAAATGTCCAGCGGAGTATCCGGAGCCTGTTTACCTTGGAAACCCAGCACAAGTGCCCTACGTGAACTCCAAACTCAAGCTGACGCTGCCGGGGGTCTCTGGGGGGATATTTTTCAGCTGTGACTTAATCGTCCTGTGAACAACGGTGACGAAAAGGGCTCACGCCAGCGCCCGTGCCGTGAAACCGCCAACATATGATGCTTTTGTCATTGTTGTTATAATTCATATTTACTTTCCCCGTTTTATTCCGAGTTTAATTATCGTTCGTTCACATGCGTGTAAATATTTCGTTGGCCATTTCATTTCATTCCACAAATGTGTTTATTTTCACTGCTGTTATGGCATACCTTTAACATTCTACAGGTATTAGCCCCGGCGAATTTGTATTATAGACCTGGGTGAAGTACTCTTCTGGAATTTATGACGACATTTAAAAAATTCCAAAGCAAGCAAATAAAAAAAATCCACGGGGCTATTAAATGAGTAGGTGCAAGGAGGGGCACTGGTGAGTCAGAGGGGACGTAAAGTTACAGCCCTTTCACATTGCACTGCTGGCTGAAGGCTTCCCCATGTTTAAAGTCAGTCACGGAGATGTATTGGCCATCCTCACCCACGCTGGTCAGTGAGTGCCGAATTGGTGAAGGAGAGACGCCAGTTCCAATCGTACTCTTTGGTTCTTTCGGTAAAGTCACGTAGGTAGAAAAATAAAATATATCACGACCTTTCGGGCGCAACACAAGCGTCCGTCATCAGGTGGGAAAGGATTTGAGCATATTTGAATATTGTAATTACGGCCTTGGTTTAATTAAATCGCACCCTGTGCAGGTACGAGGTCGATTATTACATTGCAGGATTACGAGAGGTGGCGACATCAGTGTATTGACCGTGGCCGATGGTGATGTTAAACAAATTTCCCCCCTTCCACTCCGCTGTGGAAATCATATCACAATCCAGGGTCATAATTCAAATGAAAGCATTCGCTATTTTACCTGATGTTGTGGTAGTGACCGGAAGCACCTCCAGTGGCCACTGGAGTGGCACGAGCCAATCACATTCAGCCTATAGGGACCGTAAAATGTCAATTCTTACACACGATTTGATAAATATATCATGAGCTTCATGATCAATATGAATGTATTCATTGATGTATCGTTCCACCATTACAGATTAGGTGGACCATGTTGATAAAAAAATTCTCGTATAGAGATCTAGACAATTACATTTATTACATACTTAGAAAACACCCAGGTTAGTTCGGGGTCGTCACCACTGTTTTAAATTCAGTTTATGCCACCGACAACAATGGCAAAAAAAAACCTGTTGTGAGTGTTTCACGTTCAATCGTGATTACCGTGAATTTGTTTAACGACTGCTTGTTTAGAACCATCTGTTTGTGTACACGCCTAGAGTGGACCGGGTTCCTCTGATCGTTGGCCATGCATCAAATGCGAATTTATGTTGACTCTGGTTTTGCACATTCCACAGAAAAACGGGCACTGCATGATCAACGGGAAAGAGCTGGATGACACGGATCAGATGGCGACAAACGGAGTGATCCACTCCATCAACACCTTCTTCAGGCCCAAAGGTGACGTCGTAAACCCTCCTTACACCCAAAGTGCTTCCGAGTGCCAAGCCCATGCTGTTTAATGGCTCGAGAAAGCGACGAATGGTCAAGTTGCAGCCCTGAGATGCCTGGCCAGCATGGCAGAGGTGACCAAATGCGTTCTCAAAGGTCTGTCTATCTCGTTCCCTCGTGCGGAGCTGCTCCCACTGAGCGATTACAGTGCTTGATACAGCTATCGTGCTGGGACGGTTCCACCTGAAGACGGAAGCTTGTGTTGCTTCCGAAACGTCGTGATTTTTATTTTATTTTTATTTTACTTTTATTAATTTAAATTTTTTACCTACGTGACTTTACCGAAGAAACCTAAGAATATGAATCCTTGCAGTCACGAAAGCTTAAAATTTAGGATTACAGTGCTGTGCGTTCACATTCTGTTGATTTTTTTAAATCATTTATATTAAGTTCGCGTGCTTGCTTGCTTGCGCGCTTACGACCGTGCAAATCTTTCGGTCGTTTTTTAACCCACTTCCCGTGATCCAATCGAGCTGACATTTTACACACATACTCGTTGTGCGTGACAATGCATTTTCGTGAAAAAATTTTTTCAAAATGTTACACTCTTTAGGGAAAATAATTTAAATATTTAATTACCAATTGTTTAATGCTGCCAGACAATCATCTGACCCATAGGTGGCAGCCATCTCAAGCCAGAGGACGAGAGGACTCTAGCCGCCCCGATGCCACGCATATAAAGGATTTATAGTGAAAAACTTTATTTTTACGGGTTAATTATTTTTTTTAAAGCTCGGCGCAGTTTCGCACAACGAGCACACTCGACGTGCCCGACAGCGGGTTTGGCGAAAACCTTCACCGGGGTCAAAACTAAGACCGCGATCTTTCCGCTCGGCGCTTCCGTTTATCGTTCGCAGAGGTCAGTGGCGTGTCCTTCAACTACGTGCACGGCATGGTGAAGGTGACTAAAATCACCAGGACCTTCCAGAGTTACACCGTCACGACCAGCAAGGGCAAGAGCAACTCGAAGCGCTCGGCTCTGCGACTGGCCAAGGCTCCCAAGAAGAAGCCAGCGGAGAAGAGCCCCCGCGCCAAGTCAAACAGCAAGCAATAGAGAACGCACTCCGACGAATTTGGCCGGTCTTGTCAAGTAACAAAAAATGTCTCTTTTGGGGCGGGGGGGGGGGTTATTGTGTGGGTACGCGAGCATGTTTGTGTGCGTGCGCAAGATATGGTAATTTGTTGGAACGGAAACTGTTTGGCCCGGGTTCAGCTTGCGTTCACGTCGTCGTCGTCGACATCATCTCGTGCCAGTTTTGCTCAAAGGGACCTGCCTCTGATGAATCTGATGCGTGAAAGGTAGGAGGGTAAAGACGCAGCCCTGCAAATTCTTACTCGTGCAACTGCTGGTTTGAAGGACCCTCCGCTAGAGAGAGATGTAGAGATCCCCTCTCGAGGATATTTGGCCTACGTTCCCACGCTCTACTTAACTCGTACATAAACATGATCAAACGTTCACTCTTAAATCTAAGCACAGGGCTGTCAGTCCCATGGTAAGTGTTTATAGAAAATATCAAAACAATTATTGACTTAGAGGAAGATTAATTGTAACAAAAAGCATACGGCAACACACTTTTAAATCTCTTTTTTGTTTTTCAACTCGTAAATGACACGCGGGTTCTGAGGGATGGACTTTTCAGTGCCCTACGTGGATAGATGACCAGCATCGGAGGCAGCGGCTGCAAAGGCGAGCGGGACCGCAGGACCACGTCACTTTGTCTTGAAATAAACAAACAAGCTTCGGTGCTCTACAATGCCAAGAAAAGTGAATTAACGATGCCACCGCAGACGCAATGGCCCACCGCCCATACCCTGCAGCACAAAGCGTAACGTCGAAGGCGGCATGTGGGAGTGCAGACTGACCACCAGTGGCACATTCGCGTGCCAGGGACAAGTATGTCCGTAGGACAACCACTGTTGACTAAGGCCACAGCGTGGTACACGTGTAGTGTTGTGAACCCTGGAGGGATGGTCAGCTGACTCAACCCCCTGCATCTAGCGCTGAGCTATCTGGCCAGATTGGTGCTGCGGGGTCTCCTAAGCATGACACTTTATTGCAACTTTAAATCCTGATTAGCCGTAAACAAACACGATAGCCGCTTATATCACTTGTTTTCCAGGCAAAATAATATGCACATTAGTGTTAGGTTCTTGGCTTACGCTATCAGATTTTCAAACCGACCTCGACCTATCCACTTGATGCCCACACCATTTCACGCAACCCGTGCATTAGCACGTTAAGCTACGTACGTTGCGAACGAAATTCAAATGTACGTACGTACATAAAATTGTCGCCATTCTGTCTCAGACCGGCAGCTTCTCCCAAAGTACCTGGGAGGGGTCATCGATCCCCTGTCGGATGAGGGCCTCAAGCTGTGTGGGTCATCGGCGTGATTTAACCGTTCCTCGCTACGCGAGTCAGTGCGGATTGGTGAAGGCAGGCGGCATAGACGTGGGTGCATATCAGGCAGAGAAGACCATTTGATTTTGTCCGCACTGCCCGCTGCTGTCAAACACGGATATCCTCGCAGCGCAATGCCGACCTGTAACTACGTGGCCGTCACCCACCCAAAGCAATGCTCGCAGGAGGACCCACGAGAGATGACAACAACACGCTAGGTGGTGCTTTACGGCAGTTTCTACTTTGAATGTGACGAGTGCTCCATTCGTGGTAATACGCCTTTGTCAATTTCCCGGTCTGGTCACTTTTAACGAGATTTAATGCGTTGCTCTTGGGCTTTAGAAACTGTAATAGTTAAACCGTATACGCATCGAAAATGATAAATTGGGTGGTGTGATTACAGCTGGTTTTGATTAGTTATCTGTATTCACAGTGAATTCACTGCCGTACGTAAATTCAAAGAGTGCCGTTAGCTAATATATTCAGATCTGAAAGTATGAGTTAAACAAGGAAAAGAAAATGCGCAAATAAAATAACAGTACCTGTCTTGGTATTGCAAGGTGTAAATGGGAAACGGTTGTTATGACGGCAGTCAATGTCTCAGGACTTGGGTAATATTGTAAGATAACTATTATGCATGAATGGAAAATATAGTGGGAAGTTGGTAAGCCAGACAGAGCCATGACTAACGCCGCATAATCTCTTAAGTTCCAAGATAAAATCGCGGTGTAATTCATTCCAACGGTCAAAAGTAACAGTCTGACTGTGGCCTGATGAAGCTAGTTGTAATTACTGGCGAAACGTCGTACTCGGAGTGTAAATGTTGTGGCTTTGCTCTCCAACACACCAGCGTGCTGTACTCGTGACGAATTGGCACGTTCTGTAAACTCGACAATCCTTACTAATTGGCTGTGTCGGGTGGTGGCGGGTTTAACGACACATTATACTTTTACACGAGCTTACCCAAAAAAAGACTTTATTATGAACAGTAATAGTCTTTGGTAGACCAAGTGTATTTAACTCTTGTGCATGCAACAACTAAACCTGAACATGTTAATAGTTTTACTATATATGCCTCCTCTTAGACGTGTATCATTGGCATCTTTTTCGTGTGTTGAAATTGCTTCTTTACATATTCATTGCCGTAGTTTCGTGTGTGTTTTTGTAGAAACAATTTTAGAAGCCTCTTGTGTGTCTTTAAGAATTGTGTTGAGCAGATATGATAGAAATTATATATGCACATACATATGCAGTAAAATAAGGTTCGTAACCATCGCGAAGTAAGACATTAAAATTGACATAGTTTATAATCATAGCTGTTTAGACGTTGGATGTAATAGGCGGTATGCTCATACAATTGTAGAGTGATTGACTATTAAGGCAAAGATAATTCCACATATTTCTTCACGTGCAGTAGCATTACCTGTTCAGCTAATAATGTGAGACAATCAGCATTCCACCAATACTTGAAAACAACATGAACATTCTAACAGTGTCACATCAAGGTGGTATCAACTGGGACCGATTTAAATGATCATAGTGAGGTTCTAATGAACAATGAGTTCCATCGTGTTGGTATTATCGATCTCTTGAACGGCTATGCACTTCCATCGAGTAAAATAAGTAGAACTCATCTTATCCTATTGTGGGTTATTCACAAATTTACTCCGGTTTATCCGTACGAAAACAAAGCGCACAATTGCGGATAATCAGATGCATTTTCCGTGGAGCTTCTCTTAGCCGTGAAAATGTGGTCATTCCACAAAGCAGGACGGGAATAACTACAGATCATAGGAACGATAGGGCCGCAGATAATATGAGTTTCGGTAGACCCTACAGCGCCAATTTATAATAGGAGTTGTGGGTAATAGGGTCGCAGATAAGAGTTAAACTGTACAGCATAATAATGGCATGTAATGTACTAACTCGTAAAGGACATTGTTTTACGCAGCTATTTCACAGTACAGATGTATTGCAGTTAATAACAATGTTTTGTTTTTCACAGCATGTTGGTATGTTTCATATTCCCTGCCAAACACGTCAATCTTTTTCCTTTTCACATTGTGGCCACAATTCATGTGTTGTTAAATTTTCCAGTGAGCATATATACACAGCACAGATGTTTTGCAATACCACTTTAAAACGATGCTTGAACCTATTACATAAAGTGTGTTCACGTACAGTTCAATTGACACCGTGCACAAATATAATCTCTCATCTCACTATGATCCGCCAAATTGTCTCTGCTCCAGCAATAAAGGCCTCCTTCTTACAAAGCCTGCAGTCAAACTTGTCTATATGTAAAGTTAAACTTGTTTCGTACCGTACGTAGCAAGCTGTGCTAATCGGAGGCGCAGGGGGAAGGACAACAAACTAAACACACGCAAAAAAACATAATTCCATAGGAGGTCGCTCCTTCTCGGCTTCTGCTCCTGTTGTCTGGAATTGTCTGCCTGATGAACTTCGTGGCGTTGAGACTCTGCCCTTGTTCAGGTCAAGACTTGAGAGACACACTTCTTTTCATGTGCATTGAACGTTTATTTCAAAAAATGCCCCCCCCCCCACCTATCTGGGAGAAACGGTTCCATTTGAATGTAAATTCTACAGGATTGTATTGTATACCGTACACTGCATATCAGCTTAGCGCAATAGGTCAGTGGATCGCACACTCGAGTTTGAATAGACCAGAACAAAAATTCGATTGCCAGCCACAGATATCATCAGTGGTGAGTGATATGTGAACCAATCCTGGTTGACCCCCTTCACCAGCCCGCACTGACCAGCGTGGTGAAGTATAGTCAAACAAACTCCCATGACTAACATGGTGTGAGGTGGCTTTCATTCAGCAGTGGGTTGATGGAAATATATAAATTCAAGATGTACAAATATAATCTGTACTATTAGTGCATGTGCTGACAGTTTTTATCAAGTCAAATTTCGATCCGTGCAATTGTTCTGATTGGAATCAAATTTGAAGTCAAACTGTTTCTGCACAGCATACTAAGTACAGTACTGTGACGATATCACATGTATCCCTCTATTCAAGACTGAAACAGGAGGATGTATCCATAACGCTAACTGCCGCCTGATGATGCTGGTTGTGATTACCCGCGAAACGTCGTACTCGAATTGTAAATGTTGTGGGTTTACTCTCCAACACACCAGTGTGCTGAACTAGTAACGAATTGGCAAGTTCTGTTCACGTGATAAATCCTTACCAATTAGTGGTGTCGGGTGGTGGCGGGTTTAACGACGCATTTATATTTACGCGATCTAACCCAAAAACTTATCTTATGGATACTATTGGTCTCGATAGCCTACGTGTTAAACTACAGTACTGTATTTGTGCAGAACAAATGTGATAGGACTTATTTACGTGATTTCGTTTAAGTATCAACAATGGGGTTTTATTCCACAAATCTGCAAGTTTGTCTATGAATTATTATTTTTTCGGAACATCAGCTGCAAAAACATATGAACGTAAGCGTACACTTCCCAAACACACTGTCAGCTCAGACATTTATATATGAAATTCTCACAAAGGATGCTGCTGTTCTGTGACTGTTCCCTAAGGAAAGGCCTTGTCAGATGAAAACAAATCGAGCTTATTTATGACAGTAAGGTTCCATGCTTTTTTTTTCCAGTGTTTATATTGCAGACATTTAAAAAAGACAGATTGCAATGTAACTCTTGCGTAGATTGTCACAGTTGTGCTGTACTCTTTGGTTCTTTCGATAAAGTCACGTAGGTACAACTGCTGTTCCCTAAGGAAAGACAAAATTAGCAGTAGTCCTGCTGTATCGGTTCCACCTGAAGACGGTCGTTTGTGTTGCGTTCGAAACGTCGTGATTTAATTTAAATGTTATGTTTTATACTTACGTGACTTTACCGAAAGAACCAAAGTGTATGGATGCCTGCAGTCACGAAAGCTTCAAATCTAGAAAGCTGTGCTTTACTTCTCTCCGGGGTATATTTGTTGTTGTGCCACGTGTACTCCGTCATGATGTCCGACGTTCCGCTGCACATTGCATGGAGCTCCTCCAGGACTGTCGCCGAAGAAGCTCTCAGCACGTGGAGAGAATCGTCAGACGTCATACCGAACAACACTCGCTACAACCCAAACGCATCGGAGAGCATGTTTTAACATTGCGATGAAGCCCACTGAACACTATTGCCATGACAAACCAAAAGCTAATATGAATGATCAAAATGTACTTTGCAACAAGCTGGGCTCAACTATCCTCAGTGTACATCATCACCATCCAAAGAAATGCGTGGCCACGGTGGTATTTCCCTTCCCTCAATGGACAACAGGCCTTTCATTGTCTCTGGCTTCTCCTCCCATGTATTGTGTCAGTAATCCGGCACAGCTGTATTGTTTCCATACAGGATGCTGATCGTCATGATGATGATGATGAGATTAAAACAATTTTAAGTCCAAGGACAAAAATATTCTTCACATTTCCATGGCACTGACCTGGGCTGAGGGTGGGTGGTCCAGTAGAACATATCAATGCTCACTTAAACATCTGACAGGCCAACTCCTCTTCTTGGTTCTTTCGGTAAAGTCACGTAGAATGGAAATACTAAAATAATAATAAATAAGATAAAATTCTCACGACGTTTCAGGCCACAACGCAAGCAGCCGTCCTCAGGTGAAGAACAGGGCTGTCGGAAAAAACAACGTCCTAATTGAACACTGCTAAGCTTGGCAGCGTATTTTTAAGCTGGGTCAAAAAATACGCTGCCAAGCTTAGCAGTGTTCATTAGGATGCTGTCTTTCCGACAGCCCTGTTCTTCACCTGAGGACGGCTGCTTGCGTTGTGGCCGAAACGTCATGAGAATTGTATCTTAATATGTTTTTTTACTTCTACGTGACTTCACCGAAAGAACCAAGAATATGAATCCATGCAGTCACGAAAGCTTTAAATCGAAATTTAGTCCGACTCGTCTTCTCTGTCTCCCTTATAAGAGTGTAAATGTCTTCTGGGAATTGTCGCCCAAACCGGGACTTCGGAGTGGACAAGCATAACGTTATATTTGCTTCAAATTATTTTTTAATAGCCAGCGCTTGCAAACGTGCGTAGCACCATTCACATGCATGGGCAAAAAAAAACACGCAGGAATCTACCTACTAAACAGAACACGATATATTGTTTTGCGGATCATATTTGCCCAACGCTGAAGCAGAAATTCTAACTGTAGTACCAGGTGTGTCTTGCGATCGTTATGGTACCCGCGCAAATTATTACAACCACTAGAAAAGCAACAATAGCAAAAGCACAATAGCAAAAGCCACAATAGCGAGGGCGATCCTTATGGAAAGAAGCAGAGGCATTTAATTATCGAGGTGCCTGATATTGCGCTTCAAATCAATGTTACTGCAACCTTCTTTTGTCCTCCACATCGACTCGGCTTAGGGTTTCTCTTCAGGGTAGCAAAGGGAACACAAAGCTGTGAACGATAGCCATTTAAAACCGAGGCCCTCGAAAATAAATATCACGACCGGTATTTAATGAGCCAGTGCAGAACCACAATGCTGCCCAAGATGATTGTGGCTGCAGCACATGCTCTACACAACTTCACGAAACATTCCCCATTGACGAAGCTCACAGTCGAAGTATAAATTCGCCTTTTCCATGTTTTGTCGTGTGATTAACACCAATTAGCGGCAGCAGTATTGTGGAATACTCATTGTACTTGTGTTGAAAAGAGAATAAATAGCTCTTTGTCAATCGAATGCTGGATGAAGGCCTCCCAATTGTGCAAGTAACTGCAAGGTAGACAGAGTCCAAAACCAATTAGATATCACAACTAATGTTATCCATTAATGGAAATCAAACTCAGGTCTCCAGGTTAATTGCACAATGCGCTAACCACTTTGCCACTATATTCTTGGTTCTTTCGGTAAAGTCGCGTAGAAGGGAAATAATAAAACAATAAAAATAAAACTATAAAATTCTTACGTGACTTTACCGAAAGAACCAAGAATATGAATCGCTGCAGTCACGAAAGCTTTAAATCGAAATTTTTAACCACTTTTCCACTGTTCCCCCGCCTGTGGTAATGGGGGTAAATATTGTAACTGGATTCCCGGGGCTATAACGTGGTCAATAAATGCATACAAATTTGGTCCCAAAAAAACGCACACCTACCAGATTATCAACATTTGCTGTAATTCGCCAAACAGTGGGAAAATGTGCATCTAAGTATCGGGAAAAAAAGTAAATTCTTGAATTGTCTGTTATTTTAGCCATCTTTCATGGTTTTATTATTCGAGCTGCAGAGATAGTGCGGTGAAACCAGACTGCACTATTGTTACAAGAGGGTCTGCATCCTGTCACTAGCATACAAGACCCCCATTCTACGGATACAGACATTCGAAACGAGACTTTTTACACCACCCACGTTGTTTTTATTGCCATTGTAAAAACAAAAACGCAGGAGACACGTTGTATGAGAATCGCTACCCACAAGTTGGGAAAAATGAAGTCAAAAAGATCAGTTAACATTATCCATCTGTGACTCATGAAAATTTTTCAGCCAAATTTTATTTTATTTAAAAAATATTATTTAAAGGAATAATTTATCGTGAACAGAATGCCAAACAATTCATTTACTGAACAAACGACTGTGACAGTAGCACATTCACAACCTTGCTACATAACCTCGTGTTGTCGTAAACACCTGCAACGGAGTTCGCCGAGATTATTCGTGTGCAAACAAAGAACAGAATATCCAGTTATACTGGGACCATTGTTTAGTGTGTAATTTTTCATAAGCGGTGTTTCACATGCTGCTTTTGTGTATCACTGTATTTCCGTAAAATCGTGGAATTATAAATATGAATCAGAATCCAAAAATGTTTAGGCTACTGCAGGAATCCGATTAGCTATAAAGCTCTTTTTCACAGATGTCCAGTCGGGGCACGGGGTAAGAACGTTACAACAACAAACAACACAACAACATGAATGTAGTGCATAGTGCAAGAAAGGTAAACAAATCAGCCCAAACACATACACATGGAACTAAACCATCCCCATCCTAACCAGGCAAAGCCCACTGAAGTATGAGCTTATACTGGTAGGAACCCACTGGTTCCACCAGCCCACAGGAGATTATTGTATCCGTCCGTCCGTCGTGCAGGGAGGAGCTGGGTGGGAGGGAGGGCTGCGTGGGGAGGGAGGGTGGGGAGGGTGGGGAGGGGCTGGTCACCCCGTGGTGCCCTTATAAACTCAACGTCTAACCTACTCACGCCGGCTTGTGCCCGCCCTCA